ACCCATCTTTTAAAGACCTCCAGGGATGGAGACTCAACCACTTCCATGGGCAGCCTGTTCCAGTGCCTGACTGCCCTTTTGGTGAAGAAGTTTTTCCTAATATCCAACCTAAACCTGCCCTGGCGCAGCTTGAGGCTGTTTCCTCTCGTCCTATCACTTGCTACTTGGGAGGAGAGACCGATCCCCACCTCGCTACAACCTCCTTTCAGGTAGTCGTAGAGAGTGATAAGGTCTCCCCTCAGCTTCCTCTTCCCCAGGCTAAACAACCCCAGCTCCCTCAGTTGCTCCTCATAAGACTTGTGCTCCAGACCCTTCACCAACTTCGGTGCCCTTCTTTGGACACGCTCCAGCACCTCGATGTCCTTCTTGTAGTGAGGGGCCCAAAACTGAACACAATACTCGAGGTGCGGCCTCACCAAGGCCGAGTACAGGGGCACTATCACCTCCCTGGTCCTGCTGGCCACAATGTTCCTGATACAAGCCAGGATGCCATTGGCCTTCTTGCCCACCTGAGCACACTGCCGGCTCATGTTCAGGCGGCTGTCAACCAACACCCCCAGGTCCTTTTCTGCCAGGCAGCTCTCCAGCCACTCCTCCCCAAGCCTGTCACATTGCATGGGGTTGTTGTGACCCAAGGGCAGGACCCAGCACTGAGCCTTGTTGAATCTCATACAGCTGGCCCCGGCCCCACGATCCAGCCTGTCCACATCCCTCTGTAGGGCCTTCTGACCCTCCAGCAGATCGACACTTGCAGATGACACCAAGTTGGGTGGAAATTTACTGAGGGTGCACTCAATTCCCTCGTCCAGATCATCAGTGAAGATATTGAACAGGACCGGCCCCAACACTGAGCCCTGGGGATCACCACTTGTGACTGGCCGCCAACTGGATTTGACTCCATTCACCAAGTTAAGGCTTACTATTTCACTATTCATTTAACAAGCTGTACTGGATAATATTGAAAAAAATCACTTAAAATGCACAAAAAGCCTCTGAAAATGTTTTATGAGCCAAATAACTGTATATTATATGAGCTGCTATAAAAGCAAACCAGTAAATTTATCAAAACGTTTGCATTCAAAGCTAAAAGAAGGTTAATAGGTTTATTATACCACTGTGTTGCTGCAGTAAAATCAAACAACATTACATATAATGAAACACAGATGTTTCACCCTTGACTTCAAATAATGTCAAAATATAAAGCAAAAGTGTAACTGCAAAAGCAGATGTAAGCTTGCCATATGTTCTCATAGAGACTTTTTGGGAAACCTGTCATTTCACAGATCAATGAACGTACTAACAGGAACTTCCTATCAAAATTCATGGTCTGTGCATCATCTTTTGTTTAGGTGTCTTTTTAGCCTACCTCGGAAAATGTAGCTTAAGGATATGTAGATTTAGTAGTCAAATATGGGCTATTACTTTTTTTTTTTTTTTTAAAAGGTAAAAATAAGGTCAGACAAAATTAACAAGTATTACATAAGCCCGATTTATAAATTACCATCTAGCTTCTAATCATCTATGCAAGCTTCTGAACTGTTTTCCAAATGACTTCCCTTACCAACAGGCAAACAGAGCAACACTTTACCAGCATATTCCAAGAGACCTCCTGAAACAGAGCACAGGTTTTCCTTGACAACACTTGAAGAAAGTAGTGAGCAGACCTTCTCCTGATATATAAGGCTACAGTACCACATGAGTATCTCCATCACCATTTCACTTCTAGCAGTGATACTAGAGGAGGAACTTGACACTTACCCACATATATTCAGGATAATCAGCCAAACGTTTTAATCCTTCAATAACTGTATCTCTGTCTTCTTCCCATTTCCTTTTGCAGAAAACAATCTCAAGGAAGTACCACGTCCAGCCAATTAGGGGCACATATAGTAGCTCTCTCTTAGCAAGAACTTTGGAACTCTTGGAGAAAAACAAAAATAATAAACCAAAAATGTCATTTGCTGATTTGTACAATGAGATCAAACAAAGGCATTAAAGTTAAGATGACGAAAAGTTGATAGAGCTGTATCTGGAAACTCAAATGCAAAGAAACTGTATGTGCACGGGTTTTAAATAAACCTATAGTCCTCCAGATGAAGGGAAGGCTCGTTGTCCCACGTACCCCTAGCACTCCGAAGCGCTCTGTCATAGTCCAGCCACACAAGAAGTCGATTTCAAAGTTGTGATTCAAGATGATGATGACATGTTCTTTCCCGAAGGTGTTCACCGTGGCCTCGTCTGAGAACAAGGTGCACTCTGTGCCTGACCACCATTCCAGCAGCATTACCAACTCTGACAAACATGATGAAGATGGAGAGAGGAGTTAGGGGTGCCGCTTATGGAAAGCACTTAGTGTTTCATCTCCAGCCCCATTCAGTGCCTAATCTCTTCTGACTCCCCACAACACTGTCACCTTTTCAATCTAACCCAGTAGAGATGAAATGAGAGCTTAGACGGGTATAGACCAAAGAACATCACCATCCTTAAGCAGTATTTAGGGCACTAGATATATGCACTATGGATAATTTAACAAGTTTTTAACAGTGACAAGTTTGGGCATTATATTACGAATGTGAAATTTCATGATCACTGGAAAAAAAAACAACAACAAAATTTTGTGCCTGAAAACAGACAGTTGAGCTGCTGATTGCTCCACTAAATGAGTACAGTTTCTCCCAGGTGGAATACAAATTATGCATAGATGCAGCCTAATGCTTTTACTCAACATGAAACAAGCTTTATGGAGGTAAACAGACCAATAAAGAGCTTTTAAAGGGATACAGTGCCATAGATCTTCTGCAATAGATTTTAGTATTAGAACACAGGACTCTAATCATTCTGTATTACGGTCATCAACACAGAGTCAGAAGTACCAGAGAATCGAGCTAATTTATCAAAATACTCGGGCAAAGCCAGGAATGGTAAATTGTATCTTCTAGAAAGAATGAGCCCTTTCTCCTGCGTCTTCTCTAGCTTTTCAATGTCCCAGCATCTCTCTTACTCCACTCTGAACATTTCTGTCATTACCCACTCGTCTTACTTTCCACCTCCCCTTTTTTCATCTTAAAAAAAACCTTTCCACTTAAACGCAGCACGCACTGAATGTAGTTGCTATGGTTAGCCTATTTCTCTCATTTCAGTACAACCAGGCAGATGGAGGCATTGCTTGTATCATGGGACAACTATAAAAAGTACGAGAATAGTTCATTCTCCCAGTAGGAAGATTTGCTTCCATGCAAACTGCAGTCATTGGTATTTTCTCATTTCAATGAGATATGGATGCAATCAAAATTTGCTTGCACAAATATGGCAGTTAAAGAATCCAACATTACTACAATGAACTTGCAGGGTCAAAACTGGAAGGTGTTGTCTCGTTTCTCTACATCAGGCTCTGCCACGCAGTATTTCAGCTTTCCATCGAGAGGCCCTGGTTTTGCAAAATGGAACAGCACGTTCCTGCACAAGGGCTTCCGCTCAGTGGGATCACGACAGGGTACTCTATCCACACTGCTAAATAACAGTGGGTGCAATTTTGCATCACATCAGAGAGATGGCAACACAGTATTTAGGTGAATGATAGGGAAAACCAATCCTGGTCTGCTGAAGATACATAGATTCTCTAGCACTAGTTTTTTCACTTGTATTCTCCGTGTGACCACTTATCAGCCAGGTTATTCCCGTGTATCATTTTCAAGACTCACTCATTTGGAGGCATGACAAAGTTATGCAACTTGCTGATCAAGAGAGCGTAACCCTGGTAAACTGGAAATACAGCAGAGGAAAGACAGAATAATAGTTTATACCAACTAGAGGTTTCTGTCATTGCTTTCCAGCTTTGTCTCCTTTGCAAATGATGCGATCACTTACCTTTTCTGCTCTGGTTATCCTGACCCAGTACAAGGGCTCTTCCAAGCAGGTGGCCAGGAGAATGGAGTAGTGGTACCAGACACAGTGTGGTACTCCGAGCAATTTTCCCTTTCCATTGCTGCCTATGTACTAAGGAGGAACATCTCCAGTACCTGCTACAGTTGCTGTGTTTTCTTATAAAAAAAATAAAATAAAATAAAATGGGTGTGTTTCTTCTTCAAAATCAGAAAAAAATTCTGCACAGCATTTCTTGTACCATTCACTCTAAAATAGAGGAGGAAGCTTTGCTGAGAGATTTGCCAGAGTTCATACTAAGAGAGGAGGGTTGATGAGCCGGAGAATTAGTACGAGGAAACAGATTGTCCTTTACAAGTGTACTGATAAAGGATGTAGTTATAACCAGGAGTGGGCTCATTTCCTTTTTTTTGGTGTGTGGGTTACAGCTATTTTGCGTGGCACCGATCCTGCCGACGCTACAGCATCTTTCTGAACGAAGGGATGGTAACGCTTGTGCTGCTTGGGATACCTCCTGGAGAGGACAAGCAACACCTCGCCACAACAAACCCCCTTCTGCGGCCGAGGTTTCGTATGGCCTCACAAGCCACCCAGAAACAAAGCAAACAAGAGGCACAGCGCACCTCTCAGTTTAAAGTACTAACATTCAAGAGATTATTTTTGCAACCGGACTAAACCAAATGCGCTGCGCTCTCCAAAGGCGTGAGTCATCTGAAAGGAGCTGATGTAGGAGAGCTTAAAGTACAGACTACCCATCATGAATCACATGTGCTGCAACGGGTTTAAGTTGAGGCCAGAGCCCCACAGACTTTTTTTCCCCCCCACATGTCTGCCACAAACATTGGATAGAGTCTATCTCCTTCTCCTTGTGAAGCTGTGCTTTATGTATTTGAGAACAGATACAGTAAGAATACAGCCTGATTTTCAGTGGGCTATAGTACATAACCAGGTACATGATCACCTGCGTATCTACCCCTGCACACCAATCCTCTGCCAGAGAGGCAGAGCAGCTTCTTGCAGTAAGGAAGCAAAACATAGCATCCAGAACAGAACACCAACCCACGGGTTCATTGCCAAAAGGATTCCACACAATGAAATATATTTCATTATGAATGGCAACATTTGAACTGCTGCATTTACATGGCTGGCTTAATTCATTATAAATCACAACTGAAGTGCATATTCTGTCAGCTCTTCCATTACAGGCCATCAGCACTCTGCAATCTCATAAAAATTTACGTTAATTTTCATAGTTTATTTTCTCAATCATTTAATTTATAATAGGCTATACAAGAGGGGTTATCCTAGGTACAACCCAATTAGCTACTCAGCTTCTCCAAACCTTTTTGAACAATAGTGTAGGTTATTTCTAGTGTATACAAGATATAACAGCATTTAAAACGTGATTTTTCCATGCACAATGCTAACTTGTAGAAATCAAGGGTCTGAACCTACAAGCCTTACAGGCACAAGCAGCTTGTACCCTCAGAAAAGCCAGACTATTAGTGCAACAATAGTTTTCAGGATGAGATCAGATTCTAGATTATTAAAAGCACATTAAGAAATTCTTACAAGCAAATAAAAAAAAAAACCCCATCTATCCCCACTCCCCTCCAACCAAGCTAGTTTTGAAGTTTCTACCTGTAAGTTCTTCCATTACAATACCTTTTCTCCTGACAGCTTGCCTGCCACTCTCTATTTAGTTTCCTTTCTCCTGTGCTTCTCAGACAACATTCTCAATAGGTAGGACAAAAAGCACAGGAAGGTCAAGGAAAACAAGCTTAAAAAGAAACTGAACTAGATACTTCGGAGTTTTTGTTGGTAGTACTTGACATCGATGATTTAAGAAGTGTGGGTGCCTGTCAGTGGACCACTCAACTGTAATTTAAGTACTCATTTAGGTGACTCATTTACCCAAAGTGGGAGTCGGATGCTGAGCTGAGTGCTAAGGTAAGTGGCCATGCACACTGGGAGGGGATGGAGAATGGAAACAAATTAGATGATTCACTGCTGAAACAGGAGGTGACATTTGGACTAAGGAGCCTTCTAAACATTCATTTCAGAAATCTAATCTCCTGTTAAGCTGTATGAGGAGGAAAAAAAAAAAAGCCATCCACAGGGAGGAAGTTTTGCAAAGGTTTGAAAGAGGAGCGCAAAGCAGTTGCACTCACTGTAGAGCTGTCCCATGAGCAGCAGAATTAAAGAGCAACAAATTGCTCACAAGAGGAGACCCTGGCATCACAGGTGAACACTGTAGGGTGTAAGAGGGCTCTGAAGTTGTTACACAGTTCAGCTATAGAGGCATCTACACTACTTTAAGACAGACATCTCTGCAGACCACACAGTCAACTTGGGCTCCTAAGTGGTCAATATTGCACGTATGCTCAACACCTGAAGCAGTGTCTGTGAATTCCCCCTTCCCCATCACTTAGCACAGGCTCTGATGCAGGGTAAAGATGGTATTGAGACAGAATCAGCAATTTCCTACCAGTCAAGACAGGGTTGGGGTTAGGGAGGAGCTTTACTCCCCACTTCTTTTAAATAATGGATGACAATAAGTATCAGTCACTTGACTTTTGTATGCTTTCCCAGTATTTCAGAAAAGATGGCTGCTTTGAACTGCTCTGAAAAAGTCTACTTCTAACCTAGCACTTCTCTCTCTCACATGTGTCTGTGTGTGTATACATATATGTGTGTATATTTTTTTTTCTGTAATTAACAAAAAGAGAAACAAAACCCACACCCCTCCCCACCCCCAGCCCTCACATCCCCTTCAAGCATACTCACGGCTCCAAAGCGAATAGGCAAGGCGACAGTTTACTCGGCGATAAAACTGCTTGTTTATGGGCCAGAGGACTAGCGTGCATAGTTGAATCAAGTTAATGATCAGTCCACTCACAACAAAGACGAACCCAATGAGGAGGTGAACTATGAACTGGGTCTTCAGAAAGGCAATGAAGCCCATGATAACCACTCAGAAGCGCTTGCAAGGGCCGTCACTCAGAATAATTGTCCTGAAAGAGAAAGAAAAGAATCAAATGGAGACTGGATTTACAAGCCCTGAGGAACAGCAAAGTGGGAGTCCTGAAACAGTCCACACCACTTCAGCAACAGGAACCCAACCCAATAAACACTCCGCTCTCCAAGCCTGCCTCAGTCAGGTCGTCACACAAGAAACTGTCGATGGTGCAAATCACTTCCAAACATAGAAAGGAATCATTATTTGCAATTTACAGCCCACCAAGAAGATTATTGTTTGCTGAAGACGAATCTCACATCTCTCTTCAAACAAAGATCATATAATTGGACTTGATGCTGGAGGGAACACAGACGCCTGCGCTCACAGTGAAGCAGCCGAGCCCCGATCGGTAAACAAGCTGCCCTGTGACTGCTGTACCTTCAGGGGCTGCTGTCCCTGAACTGCAACGGGAGCCTCAGCCCCCTGCACCTAATAAATGGCAAGCCGAGCCTCTGGAGCTGCGCAAACAAACCGATGCCTTCCTGGCCTGCCCTCAAAGCCACCACTCTGTACACACTGCTCCCGAACAAGCACCGAGCGAGGGCTGCCAGGGCTGCCGGGGGCTACGGAGACTTTGTTACGCGTTTGCTTTGACTAGAAGAGTACAGCAGTCCATTTAAGAGCAGGCTCTTCATCCTGCAGCAAATTTTGGGATGAAAAGAGCAGGGTTGGTCACGCAGAGCATCAGCCTGGAAAACACTAAGGCGTGGAAATTAGGTATTCCCACATCCGAAACCCATGCTGGAACAAGTTTAATAACTTCTAACTTTGTCAAGCCACAGTTCCTTGATTAAATATACCAGTTAGTGTGGGGAAAAAAGTAAAATAATAGAAAAACCTTAGGCTATGTAGCAGTACAAACTTGACCTGGAAAGGGCTTTGGCGCAGAATCTTGCATCCGCCAAATTAGCCAGAGCACTTAATTCTAAGCACGTGCCATGTTTATACCGGGTGCAGAAAGACGGGCAATGTCTGAACCAGCAGAACGACATAGTAATTTAGACAGACAAGTCTGATCCAATACTATGCCTGCCAGTACAAAGATAACCCAATAAAATGTATTTACCCAGCCACCAGATTGAGTTTATTCCAAACCCTGCGTTATCTGGCACTGGCCTTTTTGAACCGTTGGGTACTAGAAGCCCTACAACTAGGCCAACCAGGCTGTCAAACCACAGCCTCAATGCCTCATCCAAAAAAATAAAAGCATGACCCCAATTTTCTGCCACAGCCAAAGGTTGCTAACAGTATTTATGCTCAGCTTTTACAAGTGTTGCAAATGACCAGACCAACCAGTAGATGGTAACAAATACTTTTGATAAGTCAAGCATCCGAAGGTGATGCAGAAGTTCCCGATGCCCGAAAATAAAAAAATACCTGCCAGCTGTGAGGAACCAAACCATTTTCATTTGCCACCTGCTTACAGTATGGTGCTATTTATAAAATTCAACAGCAATTTTACTTGTGAAAGCTTGTTTTCTACCATCTCTTCTAAAAATCAGGTACTGCCTTTCAAGGCACAGAATGTCTAGCTTTTGCACAAGTAAAATCTATTTACATCATTAGTAATATACCCACTTCAGAAGCACATTACAGAGGGAAAAAAGGTCTGTTTCAATAGAGCCACTATTGTGCCTACCACAGAAAGCAAAGCAAAGCAAGTTGAATAAGCTGATATCGAAGCTTATGATGAATAATCTAAATTCCCCCAACGCTGTCCTGCAAGAATGGAAGAAACATTTCTTCCACTAATAAATTACTTTAAGAACAACTGTTGGGAAGCAGACACTTGTGTTCAAAAAGAAACAAGTGGAGCCCTCATTCCTCTCCCCTCCCCAAAGGGCTGCAGGGTACAGTTGTCCCATACAGCCAAAACACCGTACCAGCGTTCACACGTACCGCATGGGAGGTAGCCATGGTATTCGGCTCATTTCTCTTTTCCACTGGCATGTTCTTGAAGTCACTGTATTAAGTACTGCCAAACATTAAACACCAAGTTCTTCACTTCCAGAATCAGAGTCATTCTCTTCATCTGGTTTCTCTCAAAAATCAGTTCAAATAAACCAGAAAAGAACAATCTCCCTCCCTGCCCCCCCCCCAACTATTTTTTTAATCCCTACTTGGCTTCTGTACAGCCATATGCAAGGAGCTTTGCTGATGATCGTGCCTATCATAGTCATTAGACCAGTACTTACTGCCTTTCAATGCACAGCTTGGCCCCTTCCAGACAAGGCCCAAAGCGCCTATAAATGGCATGAGGAAGAACAGAAATGTCAAGTATTATCCTCAAATAAAATGGTTTGGTTCTATTTCCACGCCTCTTTGCTTTGAGCAAAGACTGGAACACTCTGGCATTTGTCCCTTATGTTAAGGACGTTGCCGTACTACGGACCCAAAAGGACACATCCCTTTTTCCCAGACAGAAAGCTGGAGACATTGCAGCACGTTGCTTCTCCAGCTTCGTTACACATGGAAAACAGGATTTATCACTCATGCGTTGATGCCCTGCCCCACACGCTGCGTACTGCACGTCTCTGGCTGGCAACACGACACAGCCGCCTCATGCGCCTGTACCTGGGCTTGCTGCACCCCTGCGCATCTGGGGACTGCAAGTCTTACCAGTATTGCTACTGGGCAAAGAGAACAGCAGCCAAAGCACACCTGGCTCCTCTCTGGCACCTTTTGAGAACAGCATCTGCCCAACCGCTCCATAAAGCACAGCTGGTTTACTTGCACTTCCTCTTAAAATGGACAGGGATCAACTGAAAAATGGGTTAGTCTTGCTGTCTGATCCTTCCCGTTTCAGTGCTGGATACAGAACCTGCCAATGTCCCTTTTGCCAATCCCTCACTTAATTGTATTTGACTTTTAAGATAATTAAGTTCCTGCCCATGTAGGCAGGCAGTTCAGGGACAGAGCAACAGGCAAAGGGTGGTCAGCTGCTGTTTTGTTGAAACCCACGGTCAGGCTGGGGAGAGGATGGGGAAATCAGTATTTGCTGGAACAAGGAGAAGCAACACTTCTGCATCTGACATATATATTAAGATCAGATAAGTGAAGTGTCTAGGAAGTAAACTAGTTTAAGACAGCCAAGTCTCAGCACTATTCATTTTTTCGTTTTTAAAGTATACCCGTATCGTGCATATTCATAGACCTGCTGGTAAAAATCTCTCTTTTTCTGCCTTCTTTTCCTAAAGCACCTTGTAACTTCACAACATTGCCCTTTCACCACAAAACCCCCATTTCCTCCCGTGCAGCCACGCTGAGAACTGCGGGCACCTTTAGTACTCTCCCCGCTTTCGCATCCTCGCCCAGTGCCTGCTTTTCACAGCCATGCGGCAGAGCAGCACTAGAGTAAAGCCCAGCTCGAACCAAACGGCACACTTTAATTGCCTTTTAGTGCCTTATCCTGCAGGGTTGTTTGACTTTCATAAAGTCAGAGGCCGCTCCCCATAGTATTGATCTTCATTTTATCTGATGAGAAAGTTCTTAAATGCTTTGCATCCTTCTGCACTCCCTCCCTTATTTATACACCTCTAAAGTAAAGGGCAAGAAGGCAGATGTCCTACAGCTTTCCTGGGTACAGAGTTGTGTCTTGAGGCTCCACATTCACATGGATTCACCGGTATCTAAAAGATACTATGTGCCTCTCAGTAGAAGGAGTAATACAATCTTTTTCCTTTAACCAGCTTTCTACATTCATGAAAGTCCTAATGATTAAACTGCTTCGAGACTTCTACCTCTCTGTCAAATGCCACCGAAATGTGCCACCAAGTTCAAAAGCCGTCAGAAGGGAGAATGACAAAGACAGCACAATTCTGTCAGCCTCATTTCATTAAGAAATCAGGTTAAAAAAACCCAAAACAGATGCACAACGTGCACTAAGCACGTTGCAGCCATTTCATGAAATATGTAGTTAGTTATGAACTCAAAATTAAAAATTAAGCCATTAATCATTTTATAATATAGTATTTCCAGTTCAAACTCCAGGTTTTAATTAATTTATTGCTCTCATGTGTGTACAATTCCTCTGAAGTTCATGAGGGTTGCATGAATATGAGCATGAAATTAGAAACTGGCCCACTGATTCCAATATTCCAACCCAGTGAGAATTAATGTGTTTGACAACAACAAAAACTGCAGCAGCCAGTACTTACATCTCTAGCCTTTTGCCTTCAGTTTTTCTAAGCATGCTCTGTTGCCATTTTCCAGCTGCTTCTGCTCTACCATACCATATTTATCTCCACTTATGAAACTAATTACAGACGTCTTTCGCTCTGAATGTGTCGCCCCCACCCTGAATTCTGGCATTTCACCTACCTCATAACATTTTTGCTAGTTGAGGAACTGAGTGAAACCCTTACGATACTGAATTCCACCTTTTACCATCATATTTTAAAGTACTGTATTTTTCAGATTGAGCTTTGTAAGCCTCCTTGATGTCTGTATAAACTTGGCAGACCCTGTCTATGAAGAAAGGCTAATAACGTTGCAAGTCAGAAGCAGTACAAAAAGACATTTTGTTGGCCATGTCTCATCAAGAGTTTCCTCACCATTTTTCAGAATTCTACAAACTCTGCTAATTGAAAACACACGAGGAAAATTACAAACTGCTTTTTTATTCAGAGTGAGAACTATCTGTTCCATGAGCTGCTTCATGTGTATGATGAGGACAGGTACAAACAGCAGCAGCCAGGAGCAGAAGGAAAAGCCTCTTCTCTCAGTATACTTTCTACCCTCCAGATTTCTCAGCTGACCCAACTCAGGCTACTTCTCTTCTAAAAGCAGCTAGGAAAATCACTAGCATAAGCGTCTTTTCCCTCACATCCCCTTACAAGATCAGAAAACCCAAGAATACTAACCAGCTACCCAACAGTCAAGGCAGAGATGTGAGGGAAAGCTTTCCATGCCACTGCCTATACCTGTTTGGTGGATAAATAAAAGTACAGGTCCCACGCTGGTCATTCTAGCATCCCTCAGATGTACTACACTGCC